GCAGAGGAGTGCACAAGGCTATCAAAGGTTAATGCATCCCCACTCAACTGGTTAGATCTTCATGGCTAGGCTTGATTCCTAAAATAACATTAATGTTGGAATCAATCTTATAGCTTTACACTATAGTGTTCATTTTAATGAGAATTTACTCTTTTTCTAATTAGTAAAATCCTAATCTTGATTTAATTTTCTTATTTACTTTATTCATGTGTCATACTTTTTATTTCAATAGTGAGAAATCCAAATATTAAAATCATCCTCTTTTATTTTACAGTTATATTGGTGGTATTAGTATTTTTTTTTCAAACTGCTTTTTTTCTTCTTTTATTCAGCAGACATATTCCCTTTGCCATCTAGCTTGTAATTTATAGTATTACCATACCACTTGGCACAAAGTGATAAAATACGTTTATTTAATCTCCTGTTTGAAACATAGTTGATGCGAGTCAGGAGACTAAATTAGCAGTAGAGATAAATCAAAAGTCTGCCTCACCAACCCAATGGGCTAACAAGCTATAATAAGCGAGCAACATTATAATTTAAAACATTTGTGTAAATATCAATGTGAAAAAAAGCACAATCAATAGACCTGGAGCAATAAACAGAAGGATATTGACTGCTGAAGCACAAAATACCAAAGAGCTTCTATTTATTATGCATTCACTGATGTGTAATAACGTTCTCAGCTATAAATAAGGTTAGAGCTTGAAAGTGATCATTCTGTGTGCGTTGGTCATCTGTTCTGTTAGCTATAACTTAAGATCTCACTTGGTTATTAATGCGATTGTGATTCCTGCACATGAATTGGGAACATTTTAAATGTGTTGAACTATGAAGGGGAAAACGTTTGTGCTTAAAGCTGTGATGCACTTACCATGAGTATAAATAGGACTGTGTACGCGCATAGTAGAAACTCCTCTGCTTGTGAAAAAGTTGGTTTATTGAATTTCATAAAACTCATAAATATATGTCACAGAGACCTGCTAATATTAGGCAGTGATTTGCATCTCACAGGCTCGCTGAAAACCAGATATATCAAAGATTCTAATGTTAAGAAAATACTAATATATGCAGTTTCTCTTTATTATATATATATACTCCCTTTAACCGATCTTATAAGACAACAAAGGAAAAATTGTTTCAATTTGTAATTAAACTTTTTTTTGTTGTGCTTTGCAAAACAATTTAACATCCCAATATCCATTTAAGTCCCGCCATATAAAAAAGGTCATATTTTACCTTCATTTCAAGTCATAGCCTCGGATGAAAATGATTGAATTTATAAATATCTATTCAGAGTGGCTTAGATTAGCATACATTCCACTAAAAATATTTTAAATTACATCTGTATCACAGCATAACCCTTTAAGGGTCATTACTCATGCCTGAGGTTACATGTCCTGTGCTTTGTCGTATCTAAGACTAGGACATCTTCTCAGGATCTAATATGATTACAATCGACTGACTGCAAAATAACCTTGTACACTGATTCTAGATTAAAAGCATCACCAGTACTTGTTGGACTGTTTTCAGTGGTTTATTAAATGGATCACAAGCCACCACTTGTTCCTACTCATTCCTCATATCCCCAGTGGTTTGATGTTATTCTGCTCAGAGTAAATGTATATGATGAATAAGTTTTGGTTAGATAAATTACAGAGAGTAATGAAATGTTACTTCAATTTAAGTGGCATTATTCTGTGTTACTGCTTAGGATTTCTGTAGACCAAGAATATGTATTAATATATACAGACTTTTGAAACATAATGAAAGAAAGGTTTTCAAATATTTTTAGAACGTATGTCTTGTGGACTAAAATAAACTATGTGAATTTTTGCAAGCACACCTTTATTTCTTGTGAGCAAATGACTTCAAAGAGCACCTAAAATATGAGATGCCGTCAGTAGAGCTTCCAGTTTTCCACACTCAACCAACAGATCCTGCCTGAACAGGTTAATGAATTAATTCTGACAATCTGTAGGCAAAAATAAACAAATTCAGGCTCAAATAAAAGAAATAACCATTGTTCTGCTGAGGTTGCATTGCTTTGCAACAGGCCAGTCATTAATTGGAGACAGTCAATTAATCACAGCTGGTACAGATGGCTGCATCTATTGATCTTGTCCTGGTGCTTATTTTTCATCCCTAAATGACACCGATTGCCAGATTTGACCAGCATGTGTAATGGACAGTAAAGAACCAATGACCTGAGTGTCAGTCTTGTCGCTGGTCAGGATCTCGCCCCCTCCCCCTTTAAATAGCATCTTTACCATTTAGCTTGGAAAGGTTTAGACTGCCCTTAGAGCACAGCAGCGAAACAGTGCGCTCTTGTGCTCAGATGACCTTTTCTGTTTAAAGCTTAATCTCTGACAAATGCTTGCTTTAATTAGCCTGATACCCCCTGCCTGGACCACCATCCTGCGAAGCCCTTCCCTCTCCCACACACATAACCCCACCTGCCTCAGTGTGTTCACTGCCCTGAATCTCCAGCTCAGTTTGACTTTAGAGGATTTTTCAAATGGCCAGACATCATCATTGCCTGAAATCTAAGGAGGTCAGATTTAAAACAAGAGATACGACCGCCGCTCTCAAACACACCTGTTAAAATTTCATATTTCAAAAATGAATGACAAACATTTTTCTTCTTTAATGTTTGATATATCCTATACAATTTAAATCTGTCAAAGAGAAAATGAGAAATAATGCTGAATAGAAAAGTTTCATTTTGCATACACTTTATGTATGCAAAATTACAATAAATGTTGTCTAAGAGTAAGTCTCTAAGACTAAGAGTGAAATAGACTGGCCTTATGAATTGTTCAGAATCTGCTTTTACTAAACATCTAGTTCTATCTGAAGAAAACTAAGCCCACAGCATGACGCCGCCACCAGCATATTTTATTGTGAGTAATGACAACATTCATTTTTGCGACGCTCATTGTGATTTTTGAAATTTGGTCAAAGTTCAAGAGTTTTTTAATGATGATACATTATTCCACACGGCTTTATGGAATTTCAATCAAGGCCGGATGTTTCCTTAATAGGGCAGAGCCTCTATCCTTATACTGTTTACCACAGACTTCTTAACAATCCAGGGAACACAACCCCCCAAACACCAGACATCATATTGACATTGGTTTTTAGGCTAATTCTAGTCAGTCCGTCACAGTCTTGATTTCGTCCAGAAATAATTGTTGATGATTGTTTGGTTGGTCTGATTCTGTCCCACTTTAGTCCAATAGTAGACGCACACTCGGTGGGAACCAGTGCTAACCAGAAAGCCTTTCAGTGTTACTAAAGGGCACCTGTCAGCCTAATTGACCAGTTCCTTGTATCCATTTGCAACAATTTGTAAGAATAAAAAAATAAAGTCAGATTAAATTAACGCTGTATTCCAGTGACAAGATCTGAGAAACAGGATCTCAAGAACTGCATGTAACTATGATACATTGCATGGTTTAGGATGCCATGTAAAAGGAAGCTCTCTATTGATTGGCTGTAATTCAGACAGGGGGTGTGAATAAGTTTTTGTGCAAAATACCTGTAACTTTGTCAAAGTAAAAAAAATAATAATTAAGTCTAATTTAACAGCTAATAAAAATAACCCATAATCACAAATTCTACCAGATACAAGTTCCTGAACTTCGGCAACAGTGTTGCTAAAATTCAAATCTCCCAAAGGCTGCTGCTTCACTCGGATCCAGCAGCAGATCTTGCATTTTTTTCCTCACTGCAGAATTGCAAACAGAAGTAAAAGAGATGCATGGCTACAAATCCCCGTTTTATTGGAAAGGAGCCTAATTATTAGGATGTAAGTCAAGCTGTGACTTGAGGGGCTGACTCCTCCTCGATGCAGGCCTTGCTTTATATTTATCCCCTTCTCTGCAGCTACAGCAGCAATGCCACCATCACCAGCAGCAGAGCGTGGCGCTTTTATTACATTGCCCACAGGCAGGTTCAGCCCTGTCACATTCAAACACAAATTCGCACACACATGGCCGGGGCACGCTCACACGAATTCACAAAGCCCGAAGGACCAGCAGCCAGTTGAGTCCCCTCCACAGCAGTTAGCAGAGTTACCCCACATCCCAGTGCTGCCACACATGGACCCTTGGGACAGGGGGGGGGGGGAGTGAGTATTATGGTAATACTAGAGCCTGCTGCTCCCTTCCCCTCTCTTGCAGTGCAGCTGGGAAGGACCATCATTACAAGTATTGTAGCAATCTGTTTAAGAGAGACACATTGGAGGGTTTGGGTGACAACGAGAGGATGAGTGCTGCATACATAGATCACATAAAAATGATTAAAATGTGTGTAAGGGGACCTGGAACAAAATGCAAAACTTGCTATGAACACCTTATATCAAATCCACTGTCAAAATGGCTTGTTGTAAATCACTATTTTCCCCTTTTTTACTTTTTTTATTTTATTAAAGGTTTCTTGCGCTGAGCTGGTCATATCTCAAGACTGGGGGGCCTGTGGCACATAAGGAATAAATAGGACATAAAGTACTTGAATCTCTAATGCCTCATATAGCTTTACCAATCTGTGCTATAGTCTCACAAGCTAGAAATCCATTAGAAAAAGACAAATTACATAGTGTTACAGTTGTGCTGCAGCACTACTTTTTTTCAAATCATCCCAAATTTATTAAAATACTATTCGTTTTGGTATTTTTTTTTTATCACAGATAAGTGCAAATAAAATCGGTAGAAAGAGTTTTTGGCTGTAGATGAAAGCTGCATTGTGAACGAAAACCTCTCAGAGCTCAAAGGAATAGCACAGTTTTGTTTTAACATCATATATGGCCTCAGATTCAATACAACACATCACCAAATTCCACCACCGTTTTCAGATGTAGGATTAGACCTTCAGCACCATTGTCAATCTCTCACTGTCAGATTAAGGAGCTCGTAGTCATCCCTTTACTTGTCATGTTTCAGAGCAAATGAAAGGACTGTGAGTCAGAATCTTTCTCACCCTCAATCATCGTCACAATCATTTTTAGCAAAAAGCGATATCTATCACCCCCCAGTTCTATTTCCAGATCATCTTTAAACAGGAAGATCAACTGATAAAGCACTGTCACATAGCATGTACAGAGGTGAAGGGTTGTTAAATATTCTGAGGGCGAACTATTAAAAATGCATATTATCTCATTATTCCTGCTGCTGATTAATGGAAAGTATATGTGCTGCAAAGAAAATTGATTTATTCTTTTTTTCCCCTTCCTTTTCTTTCTCTTTGCATGACCTAACAGGGCATGTGAAGAGGAAAGGAGGGCAGGAGGAGAGGGGTCTTTCTGAAAACTGCATCAGTGCATTATTGCCTCTGAAATCTGAGATCTTATTGGATCTGAAGGGCAGTATGAGGCAGCATCAACCCCTGTTTTAAGGTGAGGATAAAAGGCTAGTGCATAATTGGTTGTCTGTTAGAAATGTTTGTGAGTGTGAAATGTAAAATATGCTTGTTTCTTTATTGTAAAAACAAAAAAAAAACACACTCCAAGGTTCGGTAAAATATTGTTGGACCGAGACTTTTGTCACCCGCCCCCAGCTTCTGTACCACAGACGCTTACGCATACACACTCACACGCACCAGGAGGCCTTATTAATTATTTGTACCCACTTGACTTCATATTGTGCTTCCAGTGGCTTGGTCAAAGATTATAATTACCACATCCCTGTTTGTATCATTTTCCATCTCCTGTGCTTTTAGTGCAGTATTACTTCTCTTGTCCCTCACTCCCTCTCTTCCTCCCTCTCTCCCCGTATACACAAGACCAAAAGTGCAGGCACATCATTTATTGATAAGACAAAAAGAATGTAATGAAATTATCAATGTTCTTGAATTAATTATGAACATGATTAAGAAAGCTAAAATCTCAGGAGCCAGTCTCTCATTACCCATTCACTCTTAGGGATTGCTTTCATTCAGGGAAGGAGAGGCGAAAAACCCTTCTAGCAGAGCCCAGTCCGGCTCAGCTCCTCTCCCGGTGTGCCCGTCCGCCTCGTCTCTGCAGAGGCCGGATGACCGGTCCTCTCGGGCTGACACGCCGCCAGCCAGACCGATGGCTGTCCTGCACCAACGCTGGTGGACCTTGATGCAGGAAGGAGCAGCCTAGTGGCCTCTGACATTTGCTGTGGAGATGAGAGGATCTTGTTCTGCAGCTGTGATCAAACTACAGGGTCTTGACCTGCCAATTAAGGGAAACAGTCAAGGTAAGTGAGACTTTTCACATTTTTTTAAAGACCAAAACACACATTTAAAAAAAAAAAATTCTTTTAGCTTCTGTCTGTTGTATTTATTCAATCAAAAAGTTTTTTTCTGTAAGTTTCTTGTGCTTTTCTTACACAAGAAAAAAAATCAACATTACTGATAAAAATACTTCTATCAGTTTGTACCACCATTCATACTATTAGGTAAATGATTTATTATCACTGAGTATTATCACTGAGACAATATGTGTTTAGTTATTAATCTCTTTACAAATGTAAAATATCACATTAGAAAAAAATTATCTATATATATAATATTTTTTTTTTCTTATGGTTGTCTAGTTTGATTGTATGAATTTAAAATGAATATTGGATGCTGTGTAATTAATTTTATGAAAAAAATAATTCATTGCAAAAACATTTTGGATCAGTTTTGAAAAATTTGATGAACCGAAAAAATATTTTCCTATTAACAGTTGTTTACATTTGAATTTTAAGCAAAGTGACCTTTTATCAGTGTCATGATTCTGAAAATGGCTCAATGATTTTAGGGGCATGGATTTATATTCTGCACGAGTCTTGGGTTGAGTCTAGCTCCTTGTTCTCTCAGTCACATGGAAGAGTATGTTGGACAATACTCCCAAAAGTATCCAGAGTTTGAAACAAAGTCCCATCTCTTTTCTGTTCACACTGTTTCTGCTGAGAACTCTCTGGCTTTCTCTACACGTACACACTGTCTAACACATCCCTGAATACAAACAAAGAGAAGTAGAGACAGAAAGATGAATCTCTGTGTCATTTCACCTATGGTGCTAAAAGAAAGTAAATTTGCTCAAACCTGCCATATGTTGCCTTAACCTGCTGATCAGCCATGATATTTCTAACTAAAATAATGTTTTTCTGTGCAATTTAAAATCTTCTGTTCAGTTTTAAAGTATTTTTTTTCCATATTTTCCTAAATTCTTCTTTAGTATCTAAAAAAGAAAAGAGCAACAATAAAGTTTAAAAAAAATCTCAGGGGTTAATGGCAATCCTCCTTGTCCTAGAGATTGATCCGAGTATTGGATCGCACATAAAGCTGCAGTTACTGGATATTACCCTCCTGCTATCAGCCTGCAGTGATGGCCTGGATAAGAAGTGCTTACCAAAGAGGATGCTCCTTCAGGGCAGATACGGTTTCCCAGCCCTCTGGGAACAACAACCACATGCCTGCTGCTTGCTCAGGAACTTTCTAAGATCATCGAGTAAATCCAGGGGCCTTATCAAGTTACTGGCCTACTGAACTGCTCAAAAATGTTTATACCTCTTTAGATTTTAAGCTGTGGGGAGAACAGGCAGCAATTAAACAGTCCCTGTGTCTCATAGATAAGGGTACTGATCGTTTAGCTCAGGTTTTATGCCAGATGAAATGGATAGATCTCAGATTAAGTCCTTGTGAGAATGCAGTCTCATAGCATTTAATGTTTTGGGGTTTAGAAAGTTAACTTTTTATGTTTGTAATTTATTGTCATTGCTCAAGCGGCTTTAGAGGAATGCTCCATGGTGCTATACGCAGAACCAGCCTCCTCTCTATTCCCTGTTGTGGTTTTCCTTCAAAATTTAGCTGGGATTAGCTGAATCCAGCCTGTGCCAGGCTGGGCAGATCCATACATGAGCATCTGCTTCATGTCTCTCTGTAGTATTAGCCATGAAGCACCTGGCTCATGACACACAGCAGCAGCTCCAGCCCAGATGGTAGCTAAGCAGGCTAATTATTTCAACACAAAACTCTGATGTCCCACACCAGCTCTGCAGGGGCACCTTGGCATGCTTGCTATTTCTGGGCCTAAATGTACTGGAGAGGATATCTGCCATGAAACTATAAAGATGTCAAGTGGGTAATCATGAGCATGTACAGGCCTTAGTTAAGCACTTGACATCCAGATGTATATTTGGTTATTTGTGTTCCCCTATTAAGAAACAAACAGAATGGTATGACAGTCTGTTGTTTAGTTCTATTACTCACTGATACAGAACTTGCAACTGCAGAGGTTCCCATCAACCCATGCTGGAAATATTTACTTTAGATTTACTTTACTTAACTCTTCTTTTGCCAAAAAAAAAATGAACATTTAGGCACTTTGCAGCCTTTAATTTCTGTGTATTTTACTTGGGACTTCATGCAGTTTAAGACGCAATAATGATGAATTGGAGGAGAAGTGAAACATCGCTTTAAACACGTGAGCAAAGTAGACCTAGAAAGTGTGGTTTGGCTTAAATGAATAGTATTGCCACTTGAGGCAATGCTATGTACTGTTGTAACGTCTTTTACTACCATTACCCCTGGTCTGTTTTTCTACCAAGTTAGCACATCTAGAAATCTTTTTCCTTTGCTTATTCATTTTGAAAGCATATTGAAATTTAGATTTAGAACACCTACTGACTTATTTTTTTAACCTGGCCATGGATTCTCAATTGAACTTTAACAAAAATCGTCATCTAAATAATACTTTGATCTAAACCACATGGATTTCTAAAGTATGTGTTATCTTTTTTGTTGACTTGTCTTATTGTGGCATTGTTAGTACGTTCAGGTGCCATCTTTAACATGATTCCTTCCTATAGATTTGCCTGTATTTAGTTTCATCTATTGTTTCTTCCACTCAACTATGACCAGCTTCCCGTGTTCAGACTGAAGTACAGTGTTAAGTTTCTACATAACATAGCGTTTTGCATGTAGTCCACATTACCCCATCTTACCTGAGCAACAGAATCTCCAGATATCACATGTGGTAACTGGCAGTTTTTTTAACAATGGCTCTCATCCAGTTACTATTCCACAAAGGCCTGCTTTTTTGTAGTGCATGTAGGAACTGATATGTTAATAAACTCTCCCACCTGAGCTGTGGATCTCTGCAGCTGCCCAAGGGTTACCAGGGGCCTCTTAGCTGCCTTTTGATTAGTAAGCTGCATTCCTTCCCTGACTTGTCAGTTCAGGTCGACAGCCCTCGCTTAGCAGGTTAATCATTTGTGTCATTCTGCATTACTGTTGTTCAATCTACAGCATTTTCCCTCTCTGTAGTGTTCCTTGTTCTTTATATTGTTGTTTGTCCTCTAATGTTTGCTAACAAACCCCTGAGGCCTTCAAAGTGCTGCCGGGTTTATATTGAGATTAAACTACACAGTGCTGAATCTACTCAGTAATTGTGTTACTTCTTTTTTCTGTCCTGTTTTGCCAATATAGCTCTTTGACTTCAAAACACAGTTGGTTGATAAGTATGTATTTTATGACCACCAAGGTACAGATGATGGAATATGAAAAGGAGACTATTTTTGATTTTTCATTTGTAAAAATATTAATAATATCTATAAAACACAGTTATGTATTTTTTTTCCTTCGGTTTCGTTATATTTACTTTGTGTTGGTTCTTTGGCTTGCTTTCTTTCTTTCTTTCTTTCTTTCTTTCTTTCTTTCTTTCTTTCTTTCTTTCTTTCTTTCTTTCTTTCTTTCTTTCTTTCTTTCTTTTCCTGCTGATCAACATTGTACACAGGGTAAGTGGTGGCTATAAGTTATCTGCCATCTGCCATCTGCCAGAAATTTAATCCAAGTTGCTTATATTGTTAAGAACATTCTGTCTGTCCCCTTATGATAGTTCATTTTGTGCTCTATGGCATTTTCCAATCACATGATAACCTTAAACTTCTTCAGGTGTGGTTCAAGTCAGGCTCTGACCAGAATTATGCCCAGTAGTCTAATAACAACACATGGATCACATCTTTATCTGACATCAGAAGCTGCAAGTTTCTCACTGCACCCTCTCTTAGGTTGGTGATGAAGTGTGGTCATTAGGGCCCATCTCCTGCATCCACCACCACATCACAAGAAGAATTGCTTGTACTTGATAAAGCTGGCACATAAGGGAAAGAGGTGCAGCGCCCACAGCGATAACCTACTGACTCCAGCATTAAAGACTCCACCACTGGGAGAAGGGATATATAGTGATCTATTGGCTCCTATTAGAGAAACTTATTATTTGCTCTAGCCTGTTTGTGTTTTATTTCTGTAGCTCTGTGTGCTGGCATGAAGAATATACCTCTGTTAAGAATGTACAAACATCTCTTCAGAGAACATCTAACAATATGCTTTTAAAATGAATTTGAAACCTATTAAGCTTAAATTTTCTGAGGTTATTTTGTGCAACATGTAGATTTGAATCTCATTAGGAGATCTACGTCTATAAAAACATACCCTAGTGAACCATCTAGCTTATAAACTTTTAGTGAATTAATGTATTTAAATATTTAATATCATAATTTATTGGAATGAATTAATATTATAATCATCACTTAAAATAACTAAAAGATGAATCATTTCGTCCCCAATGAACCATTTTTATTGCATATTTAAAGAAGCAGTCATATTCTGTATGTTTCCTGGAATAAAAACATTTATTCAACTGTCAAATATATTATATTTAATAAATAGACAACATCCAGAGCTAATAATTATTGTGATAGAGTCATAGCTTATTTGAACCACACGAGAGGAATTAGAATAATTGCATTATTATTCTTAATGATTAACTAGTTGGTCAGTTGGTTAAGTTAAAAGTTAGTTTTTTTGTTGTGTAATTATAAGTTCTAGAACCATAAGTCAGACTAAGGAGACAATGGTTTGAGAGGAGGAATTAAAAGCTTCACAAAACAGCTTTTGGTTAATCAGCTTCCAGAACATCAGGAATAGAACAGAAGAAGATAATACATCTTATTTTGGTAGTACAGACTAGCTTTTTCTTGTCTATGGACTAACTTGCAGTTCTGCTTCCTCAGTTCCTTTCTTGCCTGGGCGGACAGTGAGCTTCGCCTCCAGCATCGTTTCTGTCTGTCATGATGTCTCTCCAAAAACCACAAACTGATCTGGTTCCTCCTAGTGCTCTGCTTGGGGATGTCTAGAGAACCATCAGCTTGGATGAGAAGGTTAGTGATCGAAGGGAAAAGCAAGACGGAAATTAGAAAGAATTTCGCAGAAATTCCCAAAACCACACACACACACCTATCCCCCTCAAAAAAGAGAAAGAATTACATTACAGACTTATCGCAAATGACTGACTAGTGGATCAATGTTTCTTTCTGGTTCTGTGTTAATCATCATGTCTTTAGGTTTCAGATCTCTGCTGCCTCAGGAACTTTTCACTTCTTGGCTAAAAAAATTTTTAGACTCAATACGCAAATCACAGATGTTCTTTTAAATCATGTTCTTCAAGTAGAGCCTTACAAGCAACACACAACTTGATCAAATTCAAACTCACTTTTGGAGTTTAGCAAATTTGTGACTAGTTAAAAAGAACTCATAATTGATTATTTTAAATTGTTGAATTAACTGATTCTTTCCTCTAAATATTAGGATAGTCTGCCTATTTTAATATGAAAGAGTCCTAACTTTGCTGTACTTGCAGACATTCAGACTATATTCTTCTGGGTGTACTCTGGAAGTCAGTACATGTAATTTACAGATTTTTAGGAGTAACCAGTCCTTAAACATTCACATAAAGAAGAGTAAAGCAGTTTTCCCTACTCAAACTAAGGAACAAATTAGCTGAAATAAAGCAATAAAGGACCTATTTTTCCCAGTACAGTTCTATCTCATCTACTCACCCCTCCTCCTCCCCTTTCCCTCTCCCTGATGTGTATCCCATCTGCTTTGGGGACCTCTCCCCAGCATGCAGGAGCAGGATAAGCACACCATTTCCCTGTCAATACTTTGCTATTAGCCTCCGCAGATCCATATATCACTGGGCTGTAGGCTATGAATGGTGTAGGGTGTTCTTGTTATCTGAATGGCCAAGGCTGAGGGTCTCCTGTCTGCCCTGCTCTTTGATTTATCCAGCCAGTGGGTTAATGAGAAATGGAGGCTGGACCTTCACTCTTACCCTTAGGGGAAAAAAGCATGAGGACATAAATGTATGGACAGGGGGACAAAGGACAGCATGGCATGTCCTAAAATTCATGAATTATTCCAGTTTCCCAAGCAGTTATGGCTTGTTGATAATACAAGTAGAGTGAGTGTGTGAACCTTTTACAGTTTCCTGGTTTTCTGCAAGAATTAATGAGAAAACATGATCTCCAACCCAACTTGTTCAATGAACTAAAAGAACAAAACAAATACATTTAAAGGCTATTAAACACATTCAACAATAAATTTTACCATTTTTGAGTGAATGGCATTGAAATGAATAACTAAAATGGTTCTTCAATTTGACCATATATGGAGGACATCTAACTAATACTGCTCTTTGGGTGTGATTGCAAAGAAATGTAAAATATTTAATTAGTAACGGATTTATGTGATGTCTAAACCTCATTGCCTAGCTTAACCCCTGTCAAGCCTTAGCTGGCAAACAGCAACACTGACATTTTTCTGTATAACCACTAAATAAAAAAAAAGGCATATTCGCACCAAATGAGCGAAAATTTGCCTTCCTGATCTTCCTGAAGTTCATTGATGTTGACAGAACTCGTATTTGACTTCAGACAATTTATCACTTATGAAGGCATCCTTAAATTAGTAAGCAGGCTATCATACTATTCAGATCATCATTGTCAACTTAGATGGGTAGATATGACTGAAAAAAAAGATTGTAGCAGTTTTCCTTCATTAATTGTTACAGATTTTAGTGCATTTAAACTTGAAGTAAAAGTGTTCACAATTTAAAGGTATTGTGGAGTATTTTGGGGAGTTTTTAAAAGTCCCGCCTTCTCCACTTAAAAAAAAAATGCTTGTGCAAGAGCCTTCATGAGCCCATTTCTCCTCGTGCATGCTCTGTTTAAAAAGTTACTGTTCTCATAGCTCATACAAGCTTACTGTGCCCGAACCTCCGCCCTAACCCTTAAATTCATCAATCACTATATAGAGCGGGGACTTTAGAGTACTTTATAGCAAACTCAGTTAACTGACCATTCAGACAGATAATCACTGCTTTTTGCTGTGGTGGTCACGCAACTCCTCCTCGACTGCGCAGTGCCTGCGCCATCTTTGTTATTAAACGCTACCCGACAGCGGTGAGTCTGCAAATCCCATATTGCTTTGCGAGGAGATCTTTCTGCGCAATGCATTTAGGGATATATCTGCATCTTCTGAGTCCTTTCTTTTCATCTCACAAACTCACACACTTTTTCTCTTACGACCCTTGACCATTTTCAAAGAACGGTGGTGAGAAAGGTGAGCTTTAATGACTGTCTGAAACCGTAGCTTGCCACAGGTATATGCCTGAAAGTGCACATGAGCATAAAAAGATAGCTAACGGGACGGGCCTTATGTAAACATATATCACCAGAATGCTTGACAATTAGGAGGACCACTTATTTAGATGATCCACCTGGAAATAAAAGATCATCCTCTATACAGTAGCAGCCATTCAAAATGGCCTTTCCCAGTCAAAAGCCAGCCGAATGGCAGCAAAATCCCCTCCAACTTCCAATGTATTTTTTTTACTGTGACTCCATCCTTTCACTGAATTACAGGGTCTGACCAGGAATAGACGCATCTCATTAGATCTTAATGTCCACAAATCATGACATAAATATTATTTTAGTACAAATTGTAGGGGACCAGCCAAGGACCAGCTAAGGGCCCATAAAGGAAAGTGGAGAAATTTTGAATGGCTACTTTTGTACTTTTAAACACCTTCACAGCAAGTTTGTCCCAAATCTACAAGAGCCTGTTTTATGGTTGCCCTTTTTAACCAGTCAATAGACTAATCCAATGTGACTAGGCCTGTATAACCTTAAAGAGATCATAAGAGATGAATTTTTGAAATGAAAATATGCTTTTGAGTTTTTGTACTTTGACAAAAGCAAAGAGTAGTTTAAGAATGCAATCCTCTTCTTAGGTTACGCCCTTGGTTTTATTTGTCTGCACTACTTCAAGCGGCAAAGTGAAGATACACTTTTTTGAAGCCATCACTGCTTTTCATTTAACAAAATTTAGTATATGAGCTTAGAAATGAGAGGTGTACCAAAGCTTAAGTAAAGATCTTACTTTATTTCCTATCAACTGGTAGTTTACTCTAGTAGAGATAACCTACAGTCCACTTAAAAAAAACAGTAAATATATTGTAGTCAGTAAATGTCATTGTAAGAAGTCACATACTTGAAATTATAATAAAGTTGAAGAAAGGCTAATTAGCTGCAATTTAAAAGCATATTATCGCACTACTGTACAACTGGATTCCAGTCCTGCTGTGGATGAAGTAAAGATTTAACTCATGAAAGTTGTTAGCATGTCTGCTTACGCTTTGTATATTTATTTACAGTCATACACAAAATGTGACATAAGTAGAGTAAATAATGATGAAACAGTTCTGTGTTGCTTTTCAGCACTTCAATACATCAGTGATTTACAATGCCTGTTACTTCAATGAGTTGTGACCTGCAGATATTTGGCCCCAATCCAAGAAGAAACTGTCTAATGAGCAACTGTGTCAGTGTTTCTAACAAGTCGCTCTCAGCAGTCTGTCTCTGCTTTTTGCAGTCAATGTGCATGTGTTTGCACCGCTAATTCTTAGTGTTGCTCACATCCAAGCACAACAGGGGAAGACAAACCACTGCCAGATAAATGTCCTACTTAACTGTTACACTGTAGTGTACTTCAGCAAGTATTCCCTCCTCCCCTTGTCTCTTTTTTAAACACACAAAAACACCTTCCTTTAAAATATCTAACATATGGTTGCATGCTGCTAGCTTGTGTCCCAAGGCCAGTTTCCCAGCTGGTTCTCTGAACGGGGGGAAACAAGAAAAAACAGAACAGCGACATGTTGAAAACAAATGAAAGGAAACACATAAAGATAAAGTAAGAGGATGAAGAAATAGAGAAACACATAATGAACAAATTTAATAAAGAAAAGTAGGTGAATTGTTTATGTGCATCCAATTCATTCGCAGATCATGCATCAAAGGGTTCGGACTGTTAAGTACCTGATAATTAGTTTGCCTTCAAGGCATCAGCCATTATGGTTCTTCAGCAACTAAATAGGCTCTGTTGGGGTTGACAGATTTTCTGTGTAGTTTTTACACAGATTGAACAACATGCTGGAAGGAAAAACAAAGGAATATGGAACTGAAATTATAAAATGTGTTTGTAACTAAGACGTTTTCTTTTAAAAAACTGGATCACTGTGTTGCTCCCTAAACCTCTATATTCATGTCTTTAGATACACTGTGAGGGTATGGATTATTGTGTTAGTTTTCATTTTACACTTTATATGTTAATGTTTTCTGGATGTTGTCTTTCTGATCGTTTCACCAAATTTGCATTGAGTTTTAAACTGACTTTAGATTTAACAAAATTTGAACAAAACTATACAAAACCTTAATTTTAACAGCTATGCAGTGTTGTTTTTTACTAAGTAGCAAGATAAAACACTTGGGGGCGACAGTGGCATTGGATGTGGGAGTTTGCCCTGAAATCGAAGGGTTGACGGGTTGACGGTTCAAGCCCCAACTCCGACTTTCAGTGTCGTTGTGTCCTTGGGCAAGACACTTCACCTGCATTGTCTACTGATGGTGGTCAGAGGGCCCGGTGGCGCCAGTGTACGGCAGCCCCGCTTCTGTCAGTGAGCCCCAGGGCAGCTGTGGCTACAATGTAGCTTGCCACTATCAGTGTGTGCGTGAATGGTTGAATGAATGTAGTGTAAAGCGCTTTGGTCAAGTCTCCTAACTTGAATAAAGGCGCTATATAAGTACATGCCATTTACCATTTACCATTAAAGGTGTCTCTCAATAAAATAGAAAATTATCAGAGAGCAAATTTCTTTTAACAATTAGATTTAAAAAAGTGACACATGCATTCATTCATTTAAAGCAATGACATATTTCAAACAGTTATTTCTCTAAATTTTGATGACACTGGCTTACAGCTAACAAATACGACAAAAAGCCCACTCTTAAAAATATTCCTAATATATAGCTATGTCTACAAA